TTCCTATTCTTAATTAAAAGAATGGTTTTAAACATAGAATAATATTTTTCTAATTTAGTTTTATGATAATTTTTATTTTATTTTACGGCAATTTTTTAAAGATTTTTTTGTAGTTGTACATAATACGTACACCTGATTTTGCTTATTATTTGCATATTATATATTGGGAATCACAGATACATATATGTGTGCGTGTGTGTGTGTAGGTATATACCATAATTCCCCATGTATGATACGTCTTCATCCATAATATGCGCCCCTAAAATTGTGCAGAAAGTGTGGGAAAATGCTTCTACTCATGCATAATACGCACCCCTTGTTTGTTAACCAAACCCTATAAATTATACCTCTCCGATTTCATTACGGCCAGCATTTCCTACTCTTATTTAAAAGAATGGTTTTAAAAATAGAATAATATTATTTTAATTTAGTCTTATGATAACTTTTATTTTATTTTACAGCAATTTTTAAAGATTTTTTGTAGCTGTGCATAATATGTATCCCTGATTTTCCTTATTATTTTTTTACAAAAAAATGCTAATGATACATAGGGAATTATGGTATTTGATATTTTTTTATCAGTCACTTGTAATCATTTTTCAAGACATGGGTGATTATGATTCTCCACAAATTTCTCTTTTGTAGCTCTAAACAATGTTTATCCCTTGTTTAGCTTTTGGAAAATATCTTTTGTTATTCCATGTCACATTTTCTATTGTCTTCATCCTCTTATATAGTGAATGCTGGATAATCACCTCACAGATAAGGAGAAAAATGGAGGCAAATGGTTCTACAGAAAGATACTGAAAATTTAATGGATGGAGTGAGGAAGTCTTTCTATTATCAATGAGCAGATTGTTCTGAGATTTCCTTTGTGATGTCCCCTGGAATATGGTCATTAACCTCCCCATCCAAAAATGTGCATCTAAGGTCTCATCCTGGGTAAAAGCTGGAATTGAGGTTTTCATCCCAACAAGAAAACATAAAATGAAATTGCACACTCATCCCCTTGGTTCTCAGCTGCTTGTGCAGCAGCTATTGCCCACAGGAATCACTACGCCCGACTATACCATAGAGACATGTCTGATTACAACAGATGTCTCTTTGTCACTGCTCGTAATGAGTACAAGCATGGCTTCAAAGAAGCAGAGTTACTCTTTGCCAAAAGAATGAATCAACATATTACGTCTTGCAAGTTTGTTTCAAAAGATTATTAGTGCCTCTGCAAAAGCATGCTGAACAACAGCAAACCTCAATAACATCTTTATTCAACCAATTTGAGGTCCTGGCCTCCTCAGCTGATAAGGCTGAGTGCTTTGCTCATAATTTCTCATCCAATTCAACACTAGACTCATCTGGTGTACCCACACCAGACTTTACCCCTAGAACTGAGGCTCCACTGAGTGAGATGCACATAACCCCAACAATGGTATTGGACATCATCTCTAAATTAGACTCCCATAAGGATACCAGCCATTGTCCTGAAGAAATGTACTCCTGAATTGGCCACTGTCCTCTCTAAACTTTACAACTACTGCCTCACTGACTCTTGCTCTCCATCTTGTTGGAAGCCCTCATCTGTTGTGCCTGTCTTTAAAAACTCTGGTGACCCTTCTGACCTGTCTAACTACCATCCTATCAGTCTCCTACCACTCTTCAGTAAAGTCTTCAAGGTTTTAATCAATGCCAAAGTGGTTAAGCACTTGATAGGGGGTTTCTTCTTAAACTTCTGTTTAAGCTTACTTTACTATGCACAAACATTATCCAAAATTTCTATAAAATCAACAAATAAAACTTCCCAAAATATTTCTCATAACCTTTCATATGAATTTAGCACAGAAATTTGCTTAGAAAAAATAACATCACCACACGCACCTTCATTCACACCATTTTTATTCTTTCTATTGAATTTGCTCAGGTGATAAAATATATTGCTGGTAATTGTTTGTATGTTCTTTCTTATACTCTTTTGTTTGAATAAACATCACTGTGCCTACTATCCAACTCATATTACTTGAAATCTCTCTCACTAAATATATCCCTTCAACAAATGGTAACCCAGCTATATACATAATTTGACTTTACCACATTGAAAAGTTTGAGTGACAAGCAAGGAAGTGGTCTATAGTGTAATCCTGTTAATATTGCTTTTCTTAGTATACATGCAATAAGGGTAGGTAGATTTGCCTATCATCCGGTTCGCAAACCTCCTCAGGATTTTGGACAGGCATAGCAGTTTATCCCTTGTTTCTTGTTTAGGATTGGATTTCCTTTTTCTAAAGTCTACTTCAACTCTATACTTCTAATGTCTCTGTCTAAACTCTGAAACATTATTTACTATTTATTTTTCTTCAATAGGAGTAGATAGGTTCATCTATCGTCCGGTTCGCACTCCTCCCAGGTCTTTTGAACAGGAGTAGAAGTTTATCCCTTTTTTCCTGTTTAGGCTTGGGTTTCCAGTTTCCCTTTCACTCCCAGTAGCCCCTTGCATCTTAGTGGCATTATTGCCTTGTTTGGGGTGAATTGATTAAAAAAAATTGATATAGAATGCACCAGTGGCCAACTCAGCTACTTTTAAGAAATCATCATATATGCACATATTTACATATTATTAGTAGTAATAGTAATACTTGTACTCATTAAGTTTGGTTTTTAATGGAGATCAAGGAATAGCACATCTAATCAATAATTCCCTTACAGTTCTCAGGATTATAGTTTATTCTAATAATACTATCATATGATTGATTTCAGTTCTTGAACAGATTCTAGTCCTTTTAATCTGGTGGTGGTGGAAGACAGCAGGGAATAACCTACTTAATGAACTTGTGTGGATGGTTGGCAGAACAGGGATTAGAAGAGATAGCAAAAAGACAGACTATACTAAGAGCTACAAAGGACAAGAAGTTATGGAGAGACATGAAGGGACACAGTACATAAAAGAAGAAAAAGAAGTCCAATTCTATATGGAACAGTCAGTCAGTTATGTGCCAAGTGTGTTACATGCTTAGGCGATCATGTATCTTTCAATACATGATTGACAAGGCAGATTTTTTCCACAAGTAGGTTGCCATTTCTTTCTACAGTACACCAGTTGCTATCCAAGGCTATAGAACCCAGCCTGTCCTGTTATTTACCCATAGCTGGGTGGAGAGGAAGAGGATTCATATCTTTCCCAAGGGTATTAGCACGTAAGTGAATGTAACGGATTCAACTGGAATTTGAACTCTGCTCTCTGATTCCTCAATCCGAGCTGCTATCCATTACTCCACCATTCCTATATGGAACAGTTGTCTTAACTTCTAAGCATCAAATATTGTAAAATTCAGTACTTATCAAATATTTTCTGCTACTGCCATAAATCCTGACCCAGGATGTTGCATTCACTCTGTGTGAATACCCTCTGGGAAAAGTATGAACTAGTCTCTTCTCTCTTCTCCCAGTTATGGGTGAAATAGTACATTAGGGCTCACTAGCCATGGATAGCAACCAGTTTAGGTAAAGACAACTCTGTATTTAAAATCAGGGTGAAGGAAGTCATGCTATTATCTTTCCCAAGAAGTCATGGGAATTTATTTATGATAAAGAAAAAATGGAGAGCCATGATCATTCATGTCCTGAAGTATCATGGCATTTTAAAAAAAAGGGAAGAAATTGCTATATTTATCTTTATTAGTGTAGAAAATAACTAAAACCAAGTGTAAATATTTGTGGTGTAATGGTAATATCAGTGGGCAGTGCTAAGAAAAGTTAAAATCTTTCCTTACATTTACTACATTTAAATGCAGTTGGCACTAAAATACAACTCTGATTATTGGTTCATTTTTCCCTCTGCCACCAGATTTTTCTGTGTTTTCTTCTTATATATTCTGTGTCTGTTCAGGTCAAAGACGATCTTAGCTCTCCACAACTTTCTATCCTTTGTAGCTCTAAGAACTGTTTGTCTTTTTTCTATACCTCGCACGCCCTGTTCTGCCATTCATTTGCACAATCACATTATATAGGTCACTCGCTCTTTACTTTTGTCTTTTGCCTTCAGTATGTCCTGTGAGTGTCAAATTTTCTAAGCACTCTGTCCTCATAATGTATGTAAGAAATCTCAACTGTCTCTTTTTTTTCTAAGTATAAGTTTTCTTTTTATTTGCATTTTCCTTAAAACTTCCTTGTTGTTTACATGCTCTATTCATGGTATTCTAATCATCCTTCTGTAGAATGACATCTCTGTTACCTCAAATCTCATCTTCATCTGTGAAGAAATTATCCAGCATTCACTGCCAGGACTGATATTACATAGCAGTTGAGCACCTTTTTCTTTCTTTCTAATAAATTTTTCTTTCTCTTTAATATTTTGCTTAGCTTTTAAAAGGCACTTTTTCACTATTCCAATGCAACATCAAATTTTGATGTAACATTTTCTGTCCTTTGTTAAAACACTTCTCAGTTATTTAAATTTTTCTACTTAACTATTAAAGTGGATAAAAGGTTTGATATATTTGTTTTCTAAATAAAAATATAAACTTGTGTGTTACATAAACAGTTAGAATTTAAAAAACACTGAATTTTTCAGCACTAATTCTGAAACTCTTAAAAAAGCAATTTTTACCTTTTATTATGTCAGCTATTAATATTTAAAGACTGTTTCATCTGCATCGAAATTTCAAATAGCATGTTGCCTTATCATGTCCACAAGAATAAACATTTGCCAGATAAATATGGCAAATGCATTTTCTTATGTGATCATTACAGTTTCTTTCGAGACCATAAAACCAAAATGTATTCATGTGTTTATTTTGTTAATAGATAAAGTTAACGCAATGTGTCTCAATATTTCAATAATAGGCCAAAACCTTTCAATGGTAGACATACAATCTGACCATTAAGCTAGCCAACCACTCACTTAGTCTGTGTTCCTTTTCTGCCCGGATGTGGGTCAGACATTATCACTGTGTGTTCTAGTATTCATAGCAGTAACCCTTACTTGGACAAGTTCCATAACTAATTGATTATCCAAAATGGACAAAAAAAATACTCTCCAGTTCCATAAATGTCGGTTTTGCCATTATGATTTTGAAACAAGAAGAGGAAAAAAAAAAAGCCAGAAAAGCCAAATATGAAGGAAAACAAACAAATAGTGGCAAGAAAAATGAGAGATAAAAGAAAGGAGGAAAATTAATAAAAGAATAGAGAAAAGTTGTAAAGAAGACTGAAAACAAGTGAGAAAAAGGGAGGAAAAGAAAGAAAAAAACAATGTTAGGTAGAAGAAATAGAGAGAATGGGAAAATAGTGTAAGATGGAAAAGAAAAAAAGATAAAAAGAAATGAATGAGAGAGTATGAAATAAAGGAAAAGTCCTAGAAGTTAACATTCGAGGCCAGTTTTTAAAAAAATCAGACTTTCAAATACTGACTTTCAAGACAAACAGGCTCTCTGTAAGCTTGGTGCAACCCACACTTTCTACCTCCATTTCACCTCAGTTGTTTTTCTGCCATGCTGATCCCAGCTTAGTAACCATGAAGCATTAAATTAAGTGTGAAGAAGGAGGATATAAAAAAGAAAGTAATTTGGAGAGATGAAAAAAGGAAGCAAGAAAGTAACAAGAGGAATAAGAAATGAAGGAAAAGAAGAAAAAAAGAAGTGAAAAAAATGACAGAAAAACAAAAGATGAAAAAGTGAGAAAAAAAAAAGAGAGGAAAGACTATACACGAAAAGAAAATTTACAAAAGAGAGAAAAAGAAAATGTGAAAATGAAAAGGAGAAAGAAAAAGTACATTCACATGAAGAAAAAGATAAAAAGAAATAAAAAGATTGTAAAATAAAAAAAAATGTATGAATGTGGAAGCAAGAAGAAAAACAGGTAAATAAATTAAAATCAAAATTCAATTAAAATTTCAACTCCATTGAAAGGTTGTTAAAGTAGCAACAATAAACATGTTCTTCTCAGATATGTTCTTTTAATTTAGCAATGACTGTATGATTTATTAAGATATTTCATTGCAACATGATTCAAGGCTGCCTTCAAAACACTGATAAACTTGTATGCTTATAAAACTAATGTTATTTAAGTAAATCATTCACATCTTGAAAAGGTCAGTGCATATCTCTATTCCATAAAGTTAACATATTTAGGTAAAACAATACAAATGCAGGAAAGACTTATGCCTTATATTCAAGAGATTATACCAAAGAATTTGATAGGATGACACAGAGACCTACTTGAACTGTTAGGAAAGCTTGATTTACAAGGGGAAAATATACAAGTAATCTATAACATCTACTTGGAACAAACAACATGAATGTGTGTAGAGAATGAGTTCATTGAATACGCAAAAATAGAAAGAGGAGTAAGACAAGGTTGCATATTCTCATAAGATTTATTTAACCTAACCTAAACAGCAAGATGAGACTAAGGGAACTAGAGAACCTGCTTGGATATTTATTATTAGCAGATATAATCTTAACAGAATATGACACTGTGTTGATGGCAGTCTTAAAGAGGTAACTAAAAGAACTCTTAGACAAGGTAATAATAGAAAGCAAGAAGAAAGGACTAAATGCAAGATGATAAAATGCATGATTGTTAGCAAAAGAGACAGTTCAAGGTGTGTACTACATGTTGGAAATGACAAAATCAAGCAAGTACATAAATTTAACTCCTTGGGTAATGTTATGACAAAAAATGTGACACAGAAATGTGAAGCGTATAAAAAAAATTAAGAAGCTAAGCAATGTACTAAGAAATAGGAAAACATCATTAGAAACAAAGAAAAATTGTTGAACTTCGATATAATATCTAATCTCCTATATGGCAGTGAATGTTGGACAATTCCCACACAGATAATAATTTACTGATAGAAGTCCTACTATTTAGCCCATAGTTGGGGGAGAAGTGGATTCCTACCTTGATGGAGAAGATGCTTGAAGTGAGAGAGATATACTTCTACTAAATATTGCTAAGATTTCACTACCCTGAACATATGAGCAATGAAGACAATTTAAAGAAAATAAGAACAAGGAAATTTATCCATACAGAGACTAATTAAGTTTTGGAACTCATAATGTGGAAAGAGGGCTTGGAGAATTAATCACTCCTAGGATAGACTGAAGTCAAGAGAGTAACCTTACTTAACTGACAATTTTAAATAGGTACCTCCACTTTTTCACTAAAAATCAGCATAGGATGATAAAAAAAGATCCCAAATTTAATATAAACAAAGTTTTATTGTCCAAATGTTTATGCTATTATTAAGAGGAAAGATCAAAGTATTTTTTAATTATTTCAAAAATTTTACTCCTTTCTAACAAGTTAAAAAATCTTGTTTTTTTATGGGTTAATGTCATAACAGTGCTGGTAATGGACACTTTCATACCCTTTTTCTGATAAAATAACACATTAATTTGAAAAGTCTTGCAAAAATCAAATAATTGTTGGATTTTAATTAAACTTTCAGGACTTATTTACAAATGAGTGAATTTATTTTTAAAATTATTATTTTTAGAAAATCTTTGTAAAAATTTTTTTTTTACATCTGTTAACGACACACTTAATTTTATGAAATTTTCTAGAATTTAAAATCATCACTGAAATGTTTTTTTTATTAGTTAAAAGCAAGAATCCTTAAAGAATGTAAGTTATCAATTTTTTTGTTTTCAAACTCTTACTAAATTCCCTAAAATCTGCTCCAAATCATAAAATAAAAAGTGTAATAAAACTAATTATTTAATTGGATAAGCTTTTAATTGCTTTTATAAATAATATTTAAGGACATTATAGTCTGAAGAAAAAAAATTTTCAATGAAAAATTTAATAAATAAAATAACTTTAAAATTTCATAACCATCAGGACATAACAAATAATAATAAAGAATAAAATGAAAAAATAAGATCTTGAAAAATATAAGTTAATAATAAATACCATAAAATTTCAAATTATTGAGTTACCTCTATCATTACATATTATTATATTATCTCAGATATTGAATTTAAAAGTTAAGATAATATAATATATTATTGTATTATCTCAGTTATTAAATTAAAAAATGTAATAATTGTGATAATATAATAATTAATAAATTTATTTATATCTGTTATTAAATTATCATTATCTCAGTTATTACATTTTTAATTTAATTACTGAGATAATTAATAAAATACCATTATAGACGTAACTCAATACTTTATGAAATGTTATTAATTTAAGAAATTTTTATAGTATTTTAAATTTTATTATATTTTCAGAAAATATCTTCAAATATAAGATTAAGTACCTAAAAAAATTGAGTAAATATTAGATAATTGTTTAAAATATGTTGTTAATTTTTAAAAATTACTGATAGTTAAAAAATAAATTTATGTCAATTCTGGTCCACTTTTCTTAATCTGTCAACACCTTAAGCCATCAATCTATCAATGGGGATATGAGAATAACAAGATCCCATGGTTAAAAATGCTTGTATACAACATTTTATTCTATAAGTAATGTTTGTTTCAGAACAGATTAATTTAACTGTAAGTTTGCTAATTCTCTGTAAATAACGTTTTAGAAATATATATTTTATTTTTGCAAGGTTTTTAAAACTGAGAATTAACTTTTGTTTACAACTATGTCAGTATAGTCGTTTCAATTGTATTTTATGAAAAAAAATGAATCAATCAACTAAAAATTATTCTAATTTCTATTTCAAAAACACCACAGTATTTTGCTTTTTGGGATTAAAAAATTTAATCTTTTAGTTTTCAATTAAAGCTAAAATGAAAGTATCAAGAAAGATTTTTCATTTATGAAAATTCATTTAAACTTTAGATATACTGAATTATTGGAGGTACCTAATTTTAAATACATGGCTCACAGAACATAGACAAAGAAGGGCAATAAAGAGTTAAAAATTACTTAGAGCAATAAAAGACAGGAAGTTGTGAAGAGCCATAATTGCCTATGTTCTTTAAGAGAATTGACACATAAAAGTTTTTCAAATTGTATCAGAGAAAATGTCACTTTGTAAATTCTTTCAAAATTCAAAGAATTCAAGCTTGTTGCCACAGATGTCCTCTTTGGTAACATTAATGAAAGCACAAAGATGAAATCAATATGAAAACAACATTTCAAAGATGATGTTGTTAAGTACTACATCTGCTTTCACTTCTTCATGGGGAGTGTACAGAATCTCTCTCTTTCTGTCTCTCACAGGAGCATTTTGGAATGTGTAATTATCTACTGGAATAAAAGAATTGGATAAAAAAGGTGATTTATCATATTCTCTGTATTTTTGAAGATTTGCTGCATCAGCAAAATACCACACGCTGCATATTTTGAAAATAAAATTATTATCCATAATGTGAACAGTTCTTGCGTATTTTTTATTTATGTAGGAATGTAGAGATTGGAAGTGTCAAAAATTCCCAAATAACCCTCATATAAATAAAAATAAACCTGGTCATAATGATAAGAGATGCAGCAATGGTGATGATGTTGATGATGACTGGAACTAAATTTATCATAAATCCACCTTTATCTATCAAGTTGTTGGGATTTTGAAAACACATGAAAATAAATAAGTAATAATACATTTTCAAAGTCCCTCTATAACTACAATTTCAAGAAGTCTAAAAATAGACATATAAAAGCAGATTTTGTTTAACCTCACACAGATATAGCAGTAAGCTTACCTTTCTCAGTGAATGGGAAGACAAAAATATTAACTTTTGGCTTTTGTTTGGACCCTGTCTCTGGCCTATAAAAGAATGCATCAAAAGCCACTCAGAGACTACCCACAGCAAGCACACATAGGAGCACCCCCAACAAGCACAAACAGGAACACACATGGCACATTCACTTACACCACACTGAAGAAAACCTTCTCATTCAGGTACCTATGCCATGACAGAGAGTTCAACACAAGCAAGATAAAATACTTGTCCCCAAACCAACTATATTGACTGCAGAAAAAGGAAACTTCCTAAATTAGTTACTTCTATCAACAAATATATACACATACACGCACATGAATACATATCTATCTATCTATCTATCTATCTATCTATATATATATATATATATATATATATATATATATATATAAGCAAATATATGGATATAGATCCGACAGTATGAAAAAAATATACAGAAAAAACAAACAAAATCTTAATATGCAATTATGCTGTATTAATGTTAATATAAAGTCAACGTCGGACGTTTTCGGTCTATTTTAGACCATCTTCAGGACATTTTCATTAAATATAATTAACATTAGAACATATAAAATTCAACATTCCTGAAGATGGTCTAAAATAGACCAAAACATCCGACGTTGACTTTATATTAACATTAATACAGCATAATTGCATATTAAGATATATTTTTCTTATATATATATATATATATATATATATATATATATATATATCTTCACGCCAATATATATTACACACACACTCATACATCCATATATACACAGACATTTTTCCCAAACTTTATTTTGCTAGGCTCTTTATGAATTCTCACCCTTCTGAAGAGATCTTGTCTTTTTCACTTAATTGTCATCATTGTTATTAAATTGTATTCAAATTTATTTGACGATGTTGTTTATTCCTTGTTTTGGGCATGCAAAGTTTTGTTGGCTTTCTCTTTGTCTCACCTGCTGTTCACAGTAAACATCACCTTCTCTTTTCCATCAAAAGGGAGAGTGGTCAACTCTATTA